TTTTTTGGTCAGGTCATTAATATTCCTTTATTAATATTTCAAAACTCTTATAATCTAGTTTTGTGTACATCTTTTATTTTTATTGAAGTATTAACTGTATGAAATAATAGACTACATTTTCGTAAAAAAGAAAAGAAAAAAGAACTGCAAACGCCTATTAATAACTGAAACTTACAATATATGAAGGATGAACCTAGGAAAATTAAAAGTCTCACACACACACACACACAAAGAAAATTAAAAGTCATTAATAATCAAATGGAAGCCATAAAGATCGCTTTCTTAGGCATTAGTGAGTCGAAGTGGACTGGTATTGGCCATGGTGAATCAGAAAAGCATATGGGTTACTATGCCAGCAATGACAAATTCAAGAAGAACGGAGTCTCATTCAAAAAGAACATTTCAAGATTTATCTAAAAGTACAGTGTTTGGGTAATGCCCACTGCCCTGACATGATCGCTGAAGACAAACTGGATGCATAAACAAACAAGTGTGGTGAAGAAAGTTGATGGTGCCTGGCCATTAAAAGACACAGCATCTGGGGTCTTAAAAGCTTGATGCCAAATAAGCGGCCATCTAGCAGGGAAGCCAACCAAGCCCATATGGAAGAAGCACACCAGCCTGTGTGATCATGAGGTGCTGACAGGACCAGGCATCAGAATTCCAAAAATAATGAACCTCACTAAGGTAATGGAGAGGGGTCAAGGTACAGGCCCAGAGCCCATCCGTGGATAATTGGATGTCCTTGTTCTGAGGGGCTGTGGGGAGGGGGAAAAATGCATCCAGGGGACAGTTTAGTACCAATGAAATACACAACCCTCCTCTAGTTCTTTAATCCTTCCTCTCCCACTGTTATGATCTCAGTCCAATCTTGGAATTCCCACCAGTCCGGTGTGCAGACAGTGGCACAGACAAGAGCTTTCAATAGGCAGAATTCAGGGAAGACAAAACCCTTCAGAAACAGTGATGGGCGCAACAAGTCCAAGAGAATAGGGGATGGAAAGGGGGACGAAGGGGGGAAGAGGGAATGGATAAAAGTGACAGCAGAATAACCCCCCTCAGGGGAAGAATACTAGAGCAGTAGGTGAATGGATAGAATGGGTGGTGTAAAATATATATAATAACAATAAGTAATATATTAAGGGTTCACGGTGTTGGTAGGGTGGAGGAGGGAGGGGAAAAATGAGGAGCTGATGTCAAAGGGCTCAAGAAGAAATATAGTGTTTAGAAATTGTCGATGCCCAACAATTGTACATGTCTGCTTGATATAATGGATGTATGGATTATTATAGTATATGTAAGAGCCCCCAATAAAATGACCTATTAAAAATAAATAAAAATAAAAGGGATAAAAGTACAATGCTATCTGTGATCGGATAATATCTATCTGCATACAAGGAAATCTAGTTAATACAACTATTATGCAAATTTAGGCACCCGCCACTAAAGTTAGTCTCAAATTAATCAAACATGTAACCAAGATGCAAGATTAATTATTGCTGATTGAAATGCAAAAGTTGGAAACAAAGAAGAAGGAACAGCAGTTGGAAAGTATGACCTTGGTGATGGAAATTAAGCTGGAGATCACATGATATAATTTTTCAAGAGCAACAACTTATTCATTGCAAAGACCCATTTTTCAACCAAATAAATGGCAACAATGCCTGGGGACTTTACTAGATGGAACAGATAGAAATCAAATTGCCTACAGCTGTGGGAAGAACCAGTGGAGAGGTTCAAAATGGACCAGGGATGAAGACCATTAATTACTTATATGCAAGTTCAGGTTAAAGTTGAAGAAAATTAAAACAAGTTCATGACAGTCAAAATATGACCATGGTCTGTCACCTGAATTTAGAGACCATATCAAGAATAGCTGGCTCATTGAACAGTAAGGGCAGGAGAGGTGGGGAGCTGTGGATGGCATCAAGGGCATCGAACATAAAGAAAGTAAAGGTCATTAAAAAGATAGAAAACAAATAAAAGACCAAAATGGATATCAGAAGAGACTCTGAAACTTCCTCTCGATTACAGAGTAGCTGTAGCGAATGGAAGAAATGATGAAGTAAAAGATCTGAACAGGAAATTTTATAGGGCATCTCAAGAAGGTAAAGTAAAATGTTATAATGAAATGTGCAAAGACTTGGAGAATGGAAACCAAAAGGGAAGAATATGCTCAGCATATATCGAGCTGAAAGAACTGAAGAAAAAAAGTCAAACCTCAAGCTGCAATATTAAAAGATCCTAGGGTAAAATAGTAAATAATGCAGGAAGCATCAAAAGAGGACAGAAGGAATAGAGTCACTGTACCCAAGAGACCTGGTCCACAGGCAACCGTTTCAAGAGGTAGCATATGTTCAAGAACCAGTGGAATAGAATGACGATGTCCAAACTGCACTGGAGGCATTAGTGAAAAACAAAGCCCAGAGTAGATGGGATAGCAATTGAAATGTTTCAACAAGCTGATGAAGCACTGGCAGCACTCACTAGTCTATGCCAAAAAAGTTAGTATACAGCTACCTAGCCAACCTACTTGAAAAGATCTATATCTGTGCCCCAGCCAAAGAAAGGTGGCTCAACAGAATGTGGAAAGTATTGAACGTTATGTGCAGGCAAAAATTGCTGAAGATAATTCAAGAACGGTTGCAGCAGTACACCAGCAGGGAGTTGCTGAAAATTTAGGGCAGGAGCAGAAGAGGATGTGCAAGAAGGGATATCATTGCTGATGTTTTATGGATCTGAAAGCAGAGAATACCAGAAAGATGCTTGTGTTTTATTGACTATGAAAAGACATTTGACTGTGTGGATCATAACATTTATGGATAGAATTGATTTATGGTAACTCCACAAACTTCATTGTGCTAATGAGGAACTTGTACATGGATCAAGAGGCAGTTGTGCAAACAGAACAAGCAAATACTACGTGGTTTAAAATGGGGAGAAGTGTGTGCCAGGCTTGTATCCTTTCACCATACTTATTCTCTCTGTATGCTTAGCAATAATCCCAGAAGCTGAACTATATGAAGAAGAATGTAGCATCAGGATTGGAGGAAGGCTTATTATAACTCTCTCGGGAATGCAGATAGGTACAGCCTTGCTTGCTGAGAATGAGGGGGGATTTGAACCCCTCGCTGATGGAAACCAATAACTGCAGCCTCAAATTTTTAAAAACCTAAGTTTTTAAAAAAGAACTGCGGCCTTCAGTATAGATTGCAACTCAATGTAAAGAAAACCAAATCCTCACAATTGTACCAACAGACAACATTGTGATAAACAGAAGATTGGAGTTGTCAAGGATTTCATCTTGCTTGGATCCACAATCAATACTGTTGGACGCTGCAGTCAAGAAATCAAATGAAATATTGCGTTGGCTAAATCTGTTGCGCAAGACCTCTAAAAGCATGGAAAAGGAAGGATGTCACTTTGAGGACTAAGGTGCACCTGACCCAAGCCATGGTGTTTTCAATCCCCTCTGATGCATGTGAAAGTTGGGCATTGACTGAGGAAGGCTGAAGAAGAATGGATGGACTTTAATTATGATGCTGCTGAAGAATATTGAAAACACCAGGAATTGCCAAAAGAACAAGCAAATTTGTCTTGGAAGAACTACAGTCAGAATGCTCCTTAGAGGCAAAGATGACAAAGGTTCGTCTCGTGTATTCTGTAATCTGCATTTGTGTGAATTCCAATCATGGTCCTATTTCTTATTCCATTGTCTTGCCTATGATAGTGACAGAATTGATCAGTTACCATGCACACTTTTGAATTATTTCATTTGTATTCTTTCAGCTATGAATCAACCAAGTATTCATGAATCCCTTGGATGCAGTTATGGCTTTATGATGGTGGTCCCCCTCGTCAGATGATTTGTAGTGTCTTTGCCCTGTTGGAGACTTAATAAAGGAGTCTCTATAATATATTTTAGAATTTCGGGTCCTTTCCCCCTAGAACAGTGTACAGAATCAATTTAGACCAATTACAGCAGCAAATGCATTCCTTTATTAAATTCTACCCGTTTACAAATTAGGGAGCGTCAATATGTTTTTAAAGCCAGTGTTCTGAGAACTGAGATTCACTGTATGAACCCCATGGGACCCATAATCACAGATAAAATGAGCCCTGGAGTTACTCAGGGTTTCATCTTCATCCCCTGAGCCCAGGCTTCCAGCTTCGGCCAAACTCCATCCAAAATGATGCTGGCAAGAGAAAAAACAACGCCCTACCGAGCCTGACACCCTTTCCTCCACGTCAGATTCTAGAGCAGGACCCCGAACTCGCCGCTCGGGCATTTCTATCTGGTGATCTTCACATCGCTCTTGACTCCTGGCTCCCAGATAGGACACCTCAGGAGGATTCTCTTTCGGGTACGTTTGGAGGGAGCCCTGAACGGCGCCTGTCAGAAGTAGCGTCAGGCAGGGACACTGACTTCAATATCATTTACTGGCAACGGCTCTAAACCGCCAGTCGGAGGCTGGGCCAGTCTCGTTTCCACCTCAGGTGATGTCATATCGTAGCAACCAATCGCAAGCCAGAGATGAAAGACGTTGCTAGGCAGCGGACTTTGTATTGGTTAGGGTGCTCTGTCAATCAAGAAAGGCGTGGCATCTTTTCTTTTAGCAACGGATGCGTCCTAGCAACGGCCTACCCTTTTGCTGTGGTTTCGTGCCTTCGGGACTGGTTTTTTCGGTGACGGAGGGAACTCTCCTCGGTGTACTGCAGACTTTGGCGGTAGCAAGGTCTCAGGTAAGGGAAGACCTACGTGGGCGGGCAGGGAGGGGGTAATTGTACTCACCGTCAAGGCCGTTGGAATACTCACTGTGCTAGCTTTGTGTTAGGCACCCTGAAGAAGATCACAACCCCCCCCCTCGCCCCCCAACAGAAGAAAAGACTCTGCTTTCGAAGAGCTTCTAGCCTAGTCAAAAAGACAAAAGTAACAACGAGAGAGGCATTAGCCACATTCGAATCATGTTTTGAGACCGGCGTCACAGACGGTATGCCTCCACTGTCTAGCCTTGCCTGCTAACTGATGAGTCGCTATGAAGACAGGGGCTCCTGGTTGAGGATTCACTGAAGAAGAACTGTGGGCTGAAGCAGTCAGGGACTTGAGGGCCGTTGAGAAAGGCCGTTCAGTAGATGGATTACAAGGAGCTACATGTGACCTCCTCCCTGGGGGACGGACAACAAAAAAGTGGGTGAAGGCGAAGGGAGACATCGGAAAGGGCAAGATATGACAAAATAGTAATTTATAAATTAGCAAGGGTTTATGAAGGAGGGGGAAGCGAGGAGGGAGGGGAAAAAATGAGGAGCTGATGCCAGGGGCTTAAGTGGAGAGCAAATGTTTTGAGAATGATGAGGGCAATGAATGTACAAATGTGCTTTACACAATTGATGTATGTATGGATTGTGATAAGAGTTGTATGAGCCCCTAATAAAACGATTAAAATTAAAAAAAAAAAGAGTGAGGAAAAACCTTACTAAACGTTAGCGCCTGGAGAGCAAGGACTATCTTACTTTCCAGTGACTAATCTCCCCAGTTGTTGCTCTTAACTGCTACTTACCCCCGCCCAAAAGGTATAAAATTCTAAAGGAATCCACAGCAGCCTTTCGCGGCAGCTCTGCGTTTGAGGGCCTCGGTCTTTGCAAATGCTCACTCACTGCCATCCAGTCAATGCTGACTCATAGTGAGCCCCTGCCCTGTAGGTTTCCGAGACTAACTGTTTATGGTCCCATGGAGCTGCTGGTGGTCTCGAACTGCCCACCATGTGGATCACAGCCCAACACGTAACCACGCCACCACCAGGGCTCCAATTAACTAGGCCTAATTAACTATACCGTACCACAAGGTGGTTAGAAAGTGTCAGTGACCAAATCGAGAGAAGGTCATGTTAGAGTTCAGAGTGGAAGGATGAGTACGATTTAAACAAGCAGGAAAACGTACCAAGGTGTGGAAAGGAAGGGATGAGAAAGGAGGAGGATTTTCCAGGGAGGAGAGTGGACTGTGAATAGATGGTGAGCCTATGTAGATGGTACTCCAGGAGTACAACTGGCATGGGCAGGGGTGGGAAGAAACACATTCTGACAGGTGTTGAAGGTCAAAGTTACGAGTTTGACAGGAGTTCGATGACTCTCCAGTTTTGCGTGTTAAATCCATGACTGGTATAAACAGTTAATGTCTTCCCTACTGACTGAAGGGTTGACCGTTTGAGTCCACTCAGAAGTCAGCTGGAAGAAAGCCCAGGAGATTGACATGTGAAAAAAAACCGCCCGTGGAAACGTGATGGAGAAGAGGTCTATTCTGACACACCTGGGGTCGCCACAAGTTGCCTCCACTGGACCTGAGGTCTGTGGGCACTTGGGCAAGCTGGCCTGTTAGTGCTCCTAAAAACACAGCGTCCCCGACCCAGCCCACAGCTGCACAGTCGGGGTTGGAAATTTGCTCGCTCTCTCTCTCTGTGCTTCAGTTTGTTAATCTATTAACTGAAGGTAATTAGATAGAGAACTTACTTCATGAAATTTGGAAAAGATGGCAGTAACTGAAAAAAGTAAAACAAGAGACTTTGTATTGAGTAAAGTACCCCAAAGCCACTGACC